ATATTTATTATTTCTGATCAAATACAAAATTGTTTCGGAACTAATCCAAAACGAGATTTATATTCGTAAGTAAGGGGGAGTAGAGCATAACTTTTGAGTTAAAGGCATAACGGACAAATGTCAAAAACCGCTACAAAGTTCTTAGCACTAAAATTTCCTTTCCATAACCTCTTTTTGGCAATGAGAAAGAATCTACTGATTTCAGTAGCTCAGTGGGCAAAGAGTGGCAGTCACAAGTAACTTAGGTAGGTATGCTACTCCATGGAAAAATACCAGTTGACTTCAATGATTCCTGACATTTCTACATTTCACGCTTTAAGCTGTTAGAATTTTGCGCAGACGGGTTCGCTACGCTGCTTAGGGCTATGATAAGCGAAGCATATCAAATGACTTTAATAATGCACCGGCTTTTCATTTATCGCAGTACGATACTGAAGATGATGCACGAGAGCTCGCCAACATGCTGCGAATATGACAATATTTGAAAGTAGTTTTGCGCTTATATTCATAATAACAAAAATTATTAAACAGGAAGAGTTATAAATAGAATGATGACTGTTTTTGCATAGCGTGCATTTACTTAGACTTCCATAACTTAAGATGGAAATTTTCAAGGGCTAACTTTGTTCCTTTCAGAAAAAATCAAGAGGAGGACCAGTCAAGCGTATTCGCATAAATCAGTTCTTATAATCTAGATCTCTAGAAAGCGTTCGCTCTGTCATAGTAAAATGTTACCTACACGCGGAATTTCGCCTAAACCAAAACAAACCACTAAAACAAAACATTGAAACAAAAGTCACTGACCAGCCCCAGCTGATATAGCTGCAGTGTTCTGACTGGAGGATGCAGCTGCAGCTATCGCGGCGGCGAAGTCGAGACCTGGTGGCAGTGATCCGAGATCTCCGTTGAGGTGAAGTGGATGCGGTAGATTTCCGCTTTGCAAGAGACCGCCAGCAAGTGGAGATGCGTACGGACTAGGTCCACTTGCTGCGCTTGATCGTCCCGTAGACGGAGGTATGTTGACCTAACAAAATATCATTATTCGAAGCACTGCTAGTAAGGAGGGATAATGCACCTGAAGGGGTGAAGCATCAACAGAGGAGGGAGGCGTCTCATCTGGTTCCTTTTTCAAGACCTTGTCTGCAGTTTCCAAATCCTTCAGTATCATCCTAAGCAACTTAAATTCGTAAGTGATACAGGAAGTCGCTGCTCTACTGAAACTTCCTGAACCCTGTTCGTTGTCTCGAACAGAGTCAAACTTTACCATTAACAAAATTTTGACTTAAGGGTTCATGAAATCTGACATAATTTATCTTGCGCAAAATTTTCCATAGAAGTTGAAAATAATACTCTACTACATAGAAGGAACTGACAACACTCACCGAAGCTTCTACACATTTAAAATTTGTTCGAGCTTGGTAAACACATACTGCATTCGTTCCCAAAAGATTCGCACAAGATAACTTTCAACGAATAAGTACGGCAAGTAACAATAACGTTTTGGCTTCACCTATTAAAGCAGGATCATCATATAAGAGCAGTAACTCGCAACTGATA